TTCTTGTATCTCATTCAGTTTCTTTAGAATTATCACTCGAAATTCCTTGTCATTCATTCCAAGGGCTTCCTGTTCTATGGGATCTAGAGTTTGAGATTTATTAACTTTTGGTGGTGTACTTTCTTGGTTTTTTGTATTTCTGGTATCTTTTTTTTTTGATGTTACTCATTTTCATGAGCCTTCTGAAACTTCAAAGGAGGATGCAATCAATCCAGCAGTGTTAGTCTTACTTCTACTTTGTACTAGCCAAGTTCTTAGATGCTGTCATTAGAATTTTCTAGCAACTACGATATCAAAGCTTAAGAATAAAGCACCCTAAAGTGGGGGGTAAAGCTGGAGTAAAATGGCATTGCAGTGTAGCCTTGGAAGCAAAATAATTTGTTGAATGTATGCTCCTCTCAGTAAAGATGGGGTGAAACAGGAAAGGGCTGAAGGAGTCAGAGGAGATGCTCTTCTAGGTTCTGCAGAATTCTGATATTATATTGAGTAAAGCCTCAGTTACAACATCTTGTGTATTTGACAGAAGGGGTTGGAGATATTATCCTAAGACTCTCAAGACTTCTGACCAAATAAACATTCCCTGAAGATTTTTCTCAAGTGTCCATAATATTTCATATCCTTGGAACCACAACAAGACTGCCAGAGTAGACACAACTCATCCATTCATTTTATTAAGTTGTCCAGCAAATATTTATTGTGAAGATCCAGAAATTATTCAGTTTCTGAGGCTGGGAAGTCCAAAGTCCATCTGGTGGAGATGACAATGACCCAGGAGTCTCACACTTCAAGATGGTGGAAACAGAAAGAGCCCGTGTGTTCTGGTTTTTAAAGCGTTTTCCTTGATTCTATACACAAGTCACTCAATTACAAAGAATTATTTGAGAGGGTATTAAAATGCTAAAAAATTTAATTTTTTTCTTTGATAATGAAAATACATGAAAATCTTGTATTGCATTACTATATTTGAGGGTACCAATGAGGTTACAAAGCTGCTCATTAGTAACTGCTGTTAGATTTTCTCTTGTTGAAGGAATTTTCATTTTTACAGAGAATAAGAGTTTTAATGTCTAATGTAGAAATAAAATTGTACTTTTAAAAAAATCCGTATTATTTTCTTTATTAAAAATGTTTGAGCTTCTAATTTCCTGAACATTTCTGAAAACAGTCTCAGGGAAAAAAATTAATCTATTCTTGTTCTTATAGTAAAATATTGCTGTGTCCTCATGCAGATGGTAATTAACCAAATATTCTGTGGTGTCAGAGGTATCTAAAAACAGAGATTCTGCCTTAGAAAAGACTTGCTTGCTGCTCAAGACAACAAGCCAATCTGCTCATAGATGATAATTCTTACCCGCTGAAGACACCTAACAGTCTATTTTGCATTTCTGTAAATTAAGTACATTTAAATTCTTTGGATAAAAATCATTTAAAGTTTCTGTGTTAATGTATTCTCTTGCGAAATATGTGTAAACCATTGGTTGATTCATAGCATTGTTATTCTCTTTGAGGAGATTATAACAGATGTAGTAAAATAATTGGTCATTTATAGAGTGTGACTGAAATGTTTTTGAAAAGTTTTTTTTTTAACTATATCCACTTACTTTTTAATGTGGCTTATAAAATTCTTCTAATTAGAATACATCACTTTTATGAAGAAAAGCATAACACTTTCCCATCATAGTTCCACATGGAACTATGCTAGAATAGTTAATATTTGGGGGGGTGCTGGCTGGTTTGCTCAGTTGGTTAGAGCATGGTACTGATAACACCAAGGTCTAAGGTTCTATTCCTGTACTGGCCAGCCACTATTTTATTATTATTATTATTATTAATG